GGACAAACTCCATAACACTCCAGCTAGAATTAATCACTCCATCTGCTATCCTCAAAAACACTCATCTCTGCTGCAATAAGGCATAAGTAATTACAAATGACATCTAGATTTTCCATGGGAGAATTGAACAGTTTCTTCATGTTGGATCTGATGCCTATCCTTCGATTTTCCTAGATTAACATAATATTAGCATCAATGAAAAAGTAATGGAGCTGATGTGAAAACTCACGTTTCTTCTTATCACTGAAGATGCACCGGTGAACCACATTTACAACTCCACCCCTTCTACTTGGCCTAACAACAAGTAGATTGTTCACATCTGAGACTCTTGAAACTGCGACATAGAGTTGTCCATGCGAGAAGACATCAGTTTCAAGATAAACCCCTACTTTTTTGAGAGTTTGACCTTGGCTCTTGTTGACAGACATGGCATATGCAGGTGCGACCGGGAATTGATAACGAAAAAAGGAGAGACCGGAGCGGCCATTCGACTTATTGTGGAGTTTAGCTTGAGGTAATGTTATCTCATTACCTGCAAATGGGCCAGAAATCAGTTTTCCTGTGATGAAACCGACACCAAAGGCCACAACAACAATCCGTGAACCATTGCAAACGCCGTTCTCGATATCCATATTTCGTATTACCACGAGCGGCATACCAACCTTTATCCTGAGCTCGTGTTCGGGAAAACCACTCAAACTAAGTTTGTTCAAACATTCCTCCGGCAAGCTCCCAACTCCATCTGGGTCTGGCGTATCAATTGACTTGAGAATTGTTGCAATCCCAGGAAGCCTATCTAAAATTTCGTCATTAAGCTTCTTCACATCACGGTTGAGCGGAGCTAGAATACATCGTTCATTCAGGCACACAAGGTCTTCATTGCTGAACAACCCCCTTCGATTTACCAGATCCTCATAGACAAAATTAGTCAACTCTTGGCGCATCTCACACTTCAGAATCGCATGCCTCTCTCTAGTGTGAGTGTGATTCATTTTGATTACGCTATAGTCGGCTCTTATCTGCTGCCCTCACCTAAAATCAGCAAAGCTGACTGAATGCTTATCTTGTCGCCCAAGATGAAGTTTCGCCTTGCAAGCCGCATGTTTTCGGTCAACTTGAACTGTTTGACAGATTGCCAAATGCTTGACGATTTGATGGTCGATGCGTAAGCGGGTGGATATTCATTATACTTGACAACAGGCAGGATTTGACAAAAGTCCCCGGAGAAGATGACAATCTTCCCACCAAACTCTTTGTCTGATTTGCACAACCTTTTCAGTGATTTATTGACAGCTTCGATTGAATGCTTGTGAATGGTGACAATCTCATCCCAAATGATTAGTCGAGCCGCAATGAGTCGTTCTCCGATTAGGGTGTCTCCTTCCAAAGAACATTCAGCGCCAGATTGCACATCGATTGGGATTTTGAAGGTTGAATGAGCTGTTTGTCCATTTGTTAACAGAAGAGCTGCCACCCCAGAGGAGGCGCATACAATGCAAGCGTGTCCACCAATGTTTGCTGAATCAATTATACTGTTAAGCAAGTAAGTCTTCCCCGTCCCACCAGGTCCATCAAGATAAAACACTTTACCCTGATTACCACCGAGCGCATTCTTTATATTTTGGAAAAACAAACCTTGAGAATGATTGAACGATGAGATATGATCCGCTAGTCTTGCCAAGATTAATCTTGAGTCTTCTTTACATTCCTTCTCTGCATCGAGGTCACGAAGCATCCTCTGCTCTTTCCGTGTTAATTTCAGGCCGCATGATGCGAGGGATCCGCCCATTCCATTCAAAAGGCCCGCCACCCGCATTAATGCCAAAACTTGTCGCTCCTCATCTTTTAGTTGCCTGCTGTGGCGTCTCCTCATGTCAACGCAACTGCAATCATTGGTGAAGCTTAGATAGTGCGTATCAAATAATTAAACGGGTGCTGAAGGAGGAGAATGAATGCAGATCATTGCAAACATCTGCGCTAGTTGAAATCCCGAACGGACCACTGCCGCCTCGTGTAAAGCTTGGTGATCATAAAGGAAATCGTTGACAAGTAGGCCCAAGGCATTGCAATGGTCTTGATAACTCTTCAAAACTTCTCCATCAGCAGTTGTCAAATCGGCAAAACAGGTGATCCCTTTACGGTGCAGGAGGAGGACGCGGAGGTAGAACTTTTCACCCGCAAGGTAGGAAATCGAGAAAATTTGCCCAACAGTCAAAGCCTTGGTCTTCCTTGCAACCCAACACTTTTCGGACTTATTCCACGAGAAGTAAGCCGCGACATCTTCATAAAATATCAACCTCGCTGGTACTCCATCGGCTCCCACAGCGTTTGTTGCATTGAGGTGGAAAAAGCTCGTCAGGGTCGTTCGGTTGGCCTTTCCACTATTGATTTGTCCGGCAAGCCCATCTTCCCCCTCGAAGTAGACAACCTGTTCGTCTTCATCATGGACATTTAATCTTGTCACAGCCGGGAACCTGTCGGATAGTGGGAATTTGTAAAGGCGCCAAGCAGCTATTGCTGAATTGAAGATAGGCCAAATGCTTACCTTCAACTGCACTAATGTATCTTCCATCAATAAAGGATTTGACCTCATCCTGAGAGTCAAAACCCAACGCCATCCTGTCATGTCCCTTCGTAATATACTTGTACAGATACTTTATGGCTGTTGTGTTGACTGGAACTTCGACGTTTATATGACATTGGAAATTCAGCGTGAGGTAAGGATTATACGGAACGATGGATCCGTTATTGAATGTAGAGGTATGCTTTTGAACGCGAGCGCCATCGTCCCTTCGTTTGTAAACAGGATAAGCCTCATCAACATTTACAGTTCATTCGGAGTAAGGTTTTGGAAAGCTGACTTTGCAACATTTGCCATTCCAACATGGGCGACCTTTGCATGGGCCATGCAACATGAATTCAGTGACAAGTGCATGGAGTTTTGGTGATTTTTGTCGATCAGGAAGTTCTGCCGAAACGATAGCGTCTATCTCCTCCGGCGTGACTGGTCTATCCTGCTCGTCCAGCGTAACCATCAAGTGCAGGTGAGGTAATCCCCTCTTCTGGAATTCGACTGTGTAGACGTAGGCTAAGACCTTTCCGAACCTTTCCAGCTTCACTATTTGGCGTATTAACTCTTTCATCTTTAAGTAGAAGACCCGCGCGACGATTGTTGGGTGATCGAAGGCCTTTTCTCCGGCAGGGATTTCGTTGACAATTTCATCCCACTTCGGATTCGCAGTCATAGTGATGAAGAGCGAGGGTGGTCCAAATTTTCTGCAGATTGCCATAGCATCGTGGTACAATTGTTGCATACAGCGAGGACTTCCGATGAATGAAGAAGGCAAAATGACGCATCTTCCACTTATGGGAGATTGATTTTCAAGAGAATTCATTAAACGCTTATAGTTCGCCGCCTTGAGCTTGCCTTGATTATTCGTAACAAAGGCAAGTCGTCCCCGTTCAACGCAAACATACATATCTACGAGTATTTCTTGGGTGAGGGAACGACCGGCTAAGATTGGTGAAAATCTCTTTCGACGTCTGAACAACAGATACGCAAACCACTCAAGTGAGCCCACCTTCCTATCCTTGACTGAAAACTTGAAACCATTGTAACAAGGCATCAGTCATCATCAAATCAAGCATCTGTTGTGATGATTAACAAGTAGGTAAAATGCTAACCACGTCCAGTCCAAGCACTGTACAAGTTATCCCATTGCTGTTGGCCGTAAGGGAAAAAAATTGGGTATCGCAGAGGAAAATAGGAGGAATGCATGTCCGAAATCTCCTCGAGGCAATCGTCTTTGCGATGGAGAACAATTTGTCTCTCGCCAATAATGTCGCCATTGCCTTGAATTACGACGCCTACTTCATCGACAGTAGGACAGTTGTACCGCTTAGGGTCAACTCCCGCCCTCGGGACACCCGCCAAGCTGATCGTTTGAGCATTTGATTTTGAGAGGACGTCTAGAGCCGATCGAAAACGTTTTGCGTAGGGGTTAATTTTCCCCATAAAGTGAACAAGCATCAAAATTGTACCTTGTTTCATACGTGATTTCTTGACATTATCCTGACTTCGACCAAGAGCACAATTGAGCCTATATTCGGCTTCACCGAGTCCATTGTCACCGACAACATATATTTGTGAAAATCCTGGCGTTGCGTTAGTTGGTTCCAAGCTGGAAATTCGATGGGAAAGGGCACCTGAGATTTTGATGATGTTTATCCCCATAGGACCTTGAACTGAATGGTCGATCTTTGCACCTAATGATGTAAAAGATATCGCGTTGTTGTACATCCTTGTTGATTGTTGGAAGTTGACATCATCTAAATGAATCAAGGTCATTAGGGGTCATTAGCATTGATCATTAAATTAGAGATAATTCTTACCATCTGAAGTTCCAGTTAACATTTTCCTCAGGACTGATGGGTACCTCGGCGCCGATTCATCAAAATCTGGTAGGGTAACCTTGTTCTTTTGACAGCAAGTCGAATACGATTTCGTCCTTTTACTTCGGTTGAGAAGTGTTGCCTCTTCATGCCAATGGAGCGCGCCACACGACTCACACGCATCATTGCACCTTCCAAGTCTATAAGGGATCGAATAATTTGAACTGAGGTGCGTAGTCGATTCGAAATCAGGAGAGGTACTATTTTTTATCTTCGCTTTTGATTGGATCATTGTTAAAATTACCTAGTGATGAGGTTACATAGGCTTAGCACTCTATTTGTGCTTGGCCCATCAGACTATCAAATCTCAACCCCCCGGGGCGTCTCATGCCCAATTAGAAAAAATTCACACACAAGGTGACAGTAATCATTGTTGTGATTTCATCTCTTGAAGGCCTAGGAATTAAAGTTACCTGACACAAATGATATCTACTCAATCGACACTTTTTGTGGAACATCACACCAACCCTCGTCTGGCATTGAATTGGAAAGTTCATGGAGGTAGTATATCCACTCATTTGTACAAGAACTGTATGTAAGAAAACTTGCTACAAAGATGGCTCAATCTAGAAGTGATGGATTCAGTTTCACCGCGAGGAAAAATAATTGTTAAAACTTACAAGTAATCTGATGACTCCTGAGTCAGGTTCCTCGCCAATGAATTGTCCGGAGAACTCGAGCGCCGATCCTTTCTGAATCGCAGTCCAGTCAATGGACGATGAGTTATGTTTAGGTATAATTAATCGCAGCTGGATTAGAGAGGCAAAGTCCTAATAAAACGTGTCAGCTAAAATTAGTAAGGCAAAGTATCAAACTCACTAAAGGTTGATGATTAACCAAAACTTCATCTTGCAAAGGTTTGTCTTTTCCTGCATCCATGCCTAAGTTGATGGCATTGACTCGTCCAGTGCCTGATACGGTGAGGTGACCGGATTTCGTCGACAATTTCAACATCAACGGATTAAACTCCCAAGTCGTCCCACAGGCATCATCTCTTACAATCGCTCCTTTCACTTTATATTTCAGGCCTGACGTCAAGTTATGGCCCAAATCCCCAAGACATGGGGCGACGATCGTCTGAATCAATCTGTCATCTTCATGGTATACAAACTGAGTGTTGTTTGATGATGATTTGGCAGACATCTTGATCAAGTAAATATTGCATACTCCTTTGTCAAAGTCAAAAGATTTTCCCTGTTCAAGCCAAGATTTTATTAGTACAACTCAAGATGATATGCAGATTCTCTTACCTTCACTTCTAGTTTGCACACACCGGCGAAATTAAGAGGGGGAATCTTGTGCAACCCTTTCACTAACACGCTTATGTATGAAGCTTGAATAGTCATGTCAGTAGATAATGTTGGCGAATCCGGTGATTTGGTATAAGGGTGATAAATGAGTGCCGGTAAATAGGGAGTATGGCAATGTTTTATAGCAATTTTGCAGATCTTACGCTCAGACAATGGATAGGCAAAATGACCCCGTATTGTGCCTCGGTAACACCACATTTGGATTTGCCTGGTCTGGCTCTTAGGTTTAGTCTCCACTGTATAGCATACTGCCAAGTCAAGCCGCTAGATGCTATTATGAATTGCAGCCACGTATCATTTCAGCCTTCTACGCGCAAGAAACAGAACAACTTGTCCAGTTATTAAAATGGGCGAGGCAATTGACAATCTGCAGGATTATCTTATACTGAAGTGATTCAATCAGCTTCATCTTCAACAGGGGAAACGTATCGTCATTTGCACTTGTCCAAACTTACATGGGAATGAATCCAGTCTTGAAAATGAGATTGTTGGGACATTACCTCCCCACTCATAGGTGTATGCATTTCCGCACCCATCACAAAGAACAACATCAATTTTACATTTAAATTCAAACAATGTCATTTCATGAACTTGCGGCATTAGAGGCCCCTGGGTAGTTGCTCGCTGTATAACACTCTTACGACTATTGCATTAAGGGAAAAATAGAAAGAATTATCGAGTTCGAGGAGATCTTGTCAAATTAAAGTAGCCCTTTAACATAATGTTCCACATTACCAATATAAAGTTTGTCTTTCAGCACATCTTTGAAGGCGGGTCTTTCGTAAATGCTGCCTGATTTTATGTCGTGGGCTGTTTTTGCCGTCTTTTTGTTGATTTGGAGTGACATCCCAATTTGGTCGTAGGCCGAATTATTTGCCGAGTACAAGGTGCAATGTCGAACTTCCTTGGCTCGCCAGACCATTTTCACCACCCCACTGTTTTTAGATAAGTCAATGCCACATCTATAGTCGGGAAAAACAAAGGCGCGTCCAGGAGTTGGCAACATTTGACTGGTGCTTGGAAGAGACCAGTTCCCTTTATTCACTGGAGTAAATAAGCCAAAGGCAAATTCAGATAAGTCTTCGGTGTCACAATGAGGTGAATTGAAGAAATCGTCAGAAGTAAATGTTAAGTGGTAGGCGCGCAGTTGTCTTCTCCAAGAT